CTGCTGAACAGCAACGCGATGGGTGAGTGTCCCTCCCCCCAACCCGTGTCCCTGCATGGAGTGGGGAGCCTGGCTGTTATTACACCCTCCAGGAGGCCTCAAGGTCAGGCTTGGCCGCCTGGCATAGAATGGACATGGAAAGGGACCTTTCATCTCGCTCACCCTTGCACACACGGTTCCTAAACAACCTCAGGCAGGCGCCTCTCCAGCCCTGGCTGCACTCCTCCAGGGCAGAGGAGCCCACAGCTCCCTTGGGCAGCTTGCTCCATGCCCTTGTGCTCTGGCCACGAGGCAACTTTCCATCTACAGCATATCGCATTGATTTAAACCTGCTGCCTCAGGTCCTGCGCTCTGCAGGGAGGGGGGACAGGGTTTCTCCAGCTTTGCAGCAGCCTTTCAGCTACTTGAAAGCTGCTATAAAGCCGCGTCCCCTATCTAATCTCCTCTTCTCCAGACTGAACGCGCCCAGTTCTCCCAGCCTTCCTTTGCGTGGCTGCTTTCTAACCCATTGAGCATCGTTGTTGCCGGCGACTGGGTTTTGTCTGGTTTCTCTGTGCCCTTCTGTGAACAAGGTGGACAGATTTCTGCCCAGGCCTGCACAGAGCAGGCGTTATCACCTGTCGCGCTCACATGCCTCTGTTAATGCAGCTGCCAGCGGTGCCTGGTCGTTGATGCTGGTGTCTCGTTGCTGATGCGCAGCCACCTCTGGGCCCTTCTTGGTGCTCATGCCTGGCCTGTCATCCCCATTCTGCAAGGGAGCTTGTGGGTGGTGTCACTGGGGTTGAGCATGGGCATCCCAGAGCGGCCCATAGGGGCTGGCTGCCAGTCTTGCAGGAAGGCATGGCTCTGGCCTGAGGCAATCCGGGCTGCTGGGTTGTGTTCCTGGCTCACTTGCTTCACTCTTGCACCTTTGCCCGTGTGTCTGGCAGATGTGGTGCTGCAGCCCAGCCCTGCCCTGACGTGGAGGACAATTGGTGGCATCCTGGACTTCTATGTCTTCCTGGGTCCAGACCCCAAGAGCGTGGTCCGGCAGTACCTGGATGTCATTGGTGAGGAGGTCTGGGAGCAGTCTGGCCCCACCGTGGGCTGTGGGGAAGGGTCTGGCGCTCTTGTTGGGGTCTTGCCGCTGGGCAGCTTTGCGATGGGAGCAAGCAGCCAGCCTGGACAGGCTGTGCAGGGCAGGGGAGGCCTCGCAGCTGGCCTGAGTGAGGCCAAGGCCTGGCATATCCCCCCCGCACATGCAACGCGCTCTGGTCTCAAGAGCACGGTCCGGTCGAGGGGACCTGATCCTTCCCTGTGCGTGCTGGGGAGGCCGAGGAGCTTTGTGGGCTGTGAAGACTGTTATTTCTCGCCTTCAGTGATCAGGGGAGCGGGGTGACGGCAGTCCTCCCTGCCAGTGTGCCCGGAGGATGTTGCAGCTGGAGTGCTGCGGCCTGCCGCTGGCTCCCCCCTCTCTGACCCGCGCCCTCCTGGTTCCAGGGTACCCCTTCATGCCGCCCTACTGGGGCCTGGGCTTCCACTTGTGCCGCTGGGGCTACTCCTCGAGTGCGATCACCCGGCAGGTTGTGGACAACATGACGGCTGCGGGCTTCCCCCTGGTAGGTTCCTGCCTTTCGATTCCCTCCTGATACCAGGTGCAGGAGCCCCGTCCTGCTGCACAGTGGACAGGCCCTGAGCCAGCACAGCCCTGGCGTCACAGCCAGCAAGACCCTAGTTGAGCCCAACTGCCAGGGCAGGGTTTGGGGGGGACGACGCGTTACTGCACGGGGGGTGGGAGCCAGGCTGGGGGCTGCACCAGCAATGCCGGACCTGGCGCTCTGCACAGGACGTGCAGTGGAACGACCTGGACTACATGGACGCACGGCGGGACTTCACCTTCAACCGGCGCAGCTTCCCGGACTACGCCGATATGGTGCGAGACTTCCACCGCGACGGCCGGCACTACATCATGATCGTGGTGAGTGCAGCCCGGCCCCTGCCCCGTCAAGCTGCCTTCTCTCGGTCACCTTTGGCTCTAGCAGCTGCCGTGCGGGAATCCCAACCTGACGTAGCCCGAGGCCCCCCCAGGTTCCAGCACTCGTGGTCCATGCCAGCAAAGGGCTGGCAAGCAAGTGGTGTTGGTGGGGGGGGGAACGCTCAGACCTCGATGCCAAGGGGCAACTCTGCAGCTCGAAACCTCCCCCAGCCCCGTTGAGCTGACAGCCTGCCCGGTCATTGCTCTGCACGGGGCTGTGGGGAGTTTGGGGCCAGGTCCTGTGTCTGAAGGCAAGAGGGCGTGAGGCTGCAGGGGATGGGGATGCCCCCCCTGCATGTGGGCTGCGTGTTCGTGGCTGGAGGATTGCAGAGGCACACAGGCACGTGAACCGGGAGTTGCTGGGTCACCTCGGCTCTGGAAGAGAAGAACTTTGTGCCTTCCCCGGCAGCCTTGCTCTGAGATAAGCTGCCCCAGCAGGCTTGGGAGCACTTCTCCCCCTTGCTCTGAGATAAGCTGACTCCCTCGCTGCCCTGTCCCAGCTCTGGATGCTGGGTGATGCTAACACAGCATGGGGGGGCTCAGGCCGGGACTCGGCACACGGCACAGTCTGGCGTCTCTTGGGTGATGGTGTCACGGGCTCTCCTCTGGTCAGTTTATGGCATGGGCATCTCTCCCCTGCCAGGACCCGGCGATTAGCAGCACCAGCCCTGCCGGCAGCTACAAGCCCTACGACGATGGGCTGAGGCGAGGGGTGTTCATCCGAAACGCGACGGGGCAGCCTCTGATTGGGAAGGTGAGCCCCAGCCTTTGGGGATGGGCTAGTCTGAGACCAGGCAGGGGGTGCTCCGGGGTGGAGTGGAGCCTTCCCCACCTCCCAGTGCCCCCGGTTAGACTCCTCGTGGTCTCTGCCTCTGTCTGCCAGGTGTGGCCGGGTCCGACCGCCTTCCCCGACTTCACAAACCCCGAGACGCAGGAGTGGTGGCACGACGTGGTGAAGGAGTTCCACGACCAGGTGCCCTTCGACGGCATGTGGATCGTGAGTGACGTCTCCCACCCGGGCCCAGCCCACGTGCCAGGGCGTGATGCTGGAGCCATCACCCTCCCGATTCCCTTCCAGGGCAGCTGCCCGTGGCCTGGCCTGGACTCGAGGGTCCCTTCTTTCCCCAGGACATGAATGAGCCCTCGAACTTTGTGCTGGGCTCCGTGGACGGGTGCCCCAGCAACAAGCTGGAAGACCCACCTTACGTGCCAGGTGAGCAGTGGCAAGTCCCCAGCCTGCTACAGGAGGGATTGGTGTCCCTGCCATGTGACTGATGTCTTGGGAGGCATCTGGGCACCCCTCCCATGATGATGTGCCCATCCAGAGGAAGCCGGGAAGCCTTCATCTGCCATCAGGAGCTGGCACCCAGTGAGACCAGGCTGGCTGCCCTTGGCAGCAGTGGCATGGAGGGCTTGAGCTTCTCTGGCACGTGCCGTGCAGGCCCCGCCAGGCTCTGGCTCACCGTGTTTCTCCGCAGGCGTGCTGGGGGGGTCCCTGCGCTCGGCCACCATCTGCGCCTCCAGCCAGCAGCACCTGTCCTCGCACTACAACCTGCACAACCTGTACGGGCTGACGGAGGCCATCGCGTCCCATAAGTGAGGCTGGGACGGCTGCTGCTGCCGGCTCCAGTCGGGACGATGCTCCTTATCGGGCATCTGGCTGAGTAGCAATTGGGGGGGGGCTCGAGACTGGGGCTGGCCTGGAAGATGGGGCTCCTGGGACTGCCCAAAGACAGGCTTGCTGTCCTAGCAGCTGGGGCTGAAGGCAGTGGGGACAGTAGTGTGTGAGGGAATTGGGGTGCAGGTGGAGGCCCCACACCAGTGCTGGCCTGGCTGAGCGTGGGAAGGGGCTGGCAGGGTCCAGAGAGGGGTGGGAGGGTACTGGGAGAGCCCAGCTCGTGAGGGACACCAGGCAGCAGTCTCCCCCCTCGGCTGTGCCCGCATCTCGTGTCCCGTGTGGCTGGGGTGCAGGAGGGGGGACTCTCGTGGTGGGGGCTGGGCTTGCCCAGGGGAAAGGCCATGGTGGCAGGGCCGCGCTGCCCCCTGGACGACTCTCGACGGCCGCCTCCCGTCCCTGCAGCGCGCTGGTGCGGGTGCGAGGCAAGCGTCCCTTTGTGATCTCCCGCTCCACCTTCGCTGGGCACGGCCGCTACGCCGGCCACTGGACCGGGGACGTCTTCAGCTCCTGGGAGCAGCTGTCCTCCTCTATAGCAGGTACCTGAGTGCCACTGCCCTGGGCCCCTTGATGCTTGTGGCAAGGGGTGCAGCATCCCACAGCGGGCCTGGGGCAGCAGCATGAGGCATGTCCTGGGCAAGCCTTGGTGTGGGTGAGGATGCACCTCTGGGTTTGGATTCATCCCGTGCTTGGCCGTTGGCCTGCCTGGGGAGGATCTAGCTGCAGGCATTGGCCTGGGGTCGGCATGTTCTTCAAGGAGAGAACTGCCCTCCTTTCCTGGAAGGTGCGAGGGTACCCGCGTCTCCTGCCCCTGCCCCACGGCGCGTGGTGGCACAAACAGCCAAGGCCTGGAGCCAGCCACAAGGAAGCTTGGCTCTGGGAAGCTTTCCCCCCCCACCTCCGCCCGCCTGGAAAAGCTGGGGCTGCTGGACAGTGACCTGCTCACGGGCCAGCAGGACGGGGCTGTCCCCAGCTGCTGCTCTTCCACGGGCAGGGCCGTGCTGTGACCTGGAGGGTGTTTGCTCTGGTTCCCTGCGGGCCCCTAGTTCTTGGAGTAGTAGGGGGATGCTCTGCCGGGTTTCTGTGTGTGCCCCTGGGACTTGCAGCTGCCTAGCAGCCCCCGGCGGTCTCCTCCCTGAGCTCCGGGTGGAGCCGGCTGAGCCTCGACGTGCTCCCAGAGGTGCTGCTCTTCAATCTGTATGGGGTGCCGCTGGTCGGAGCTGACATCTGCGGCTTCACGGGAGATGCCTCGGAGGAGCTGTGCGTGCGCTGGACCCAGCTGGGCGCCTTCTACCCCTTCATGAGGAACCACAACGACCATGGCAGCCAGGTGAGCGCGCTCCACGGGCAGGCGCTGGGGGCAAGGCAGGGCCCCACAGGCTCAGGGCCACTGTCTCAGCTGTGGGGTGCTCAGGGGCTGGCCTGCTTGGAGGGAGCCTGGCCCCATCCTTTGCCGTGCGATCTCCGAAGCGTGGAGCTAGTTTCCTTCCTGCCCCTTCTGAGCATTTCTTGCGGGCTCCCCTGCTCTGCAGCCCCAGGAGCCGTACGCGTTCAGCCCGGCAGCGCAGAAGGCCATGAGGAAGGCGTTGCTCCTGCGCTACACGCTGCTCCCGTATCTCTACACCCTCTTCCACAAGGCCCACGTGGCAGGGGAGACCGTGGCGCGACCCCTCTTCCTCGAGTGAGCATCGGGCTGGAGGCAGGGGCAGGTGGGAGCACCCGACCTGGGCGGGGGCATGGTACGATGCACTGGGTGCAACCCTCGGCCCCTCTGTCCTGGGCGCCAGAATACACACTGTCTCCGTCTTCTCCCAGGTTCCCTACAGACCCCAACACCTGGACCGTCGACCACCAGCTCATGTGGGGTGCGGGCCTCCTCATTACCCCGGTGCTCGAGCCCGGGAAGGCCAAAGTGAGCGGGTACTTCCCTGCGGGGACCTGGTACCACCTGGTGACGGTGAGTGCTCAGTGCTCAGCGCCACGGGCTCCCTACTGTGACCTGGGGCTGGCGGGTCCACAGCTCTGCTGTGAGGGTAAGAGCCAGCGGTCTCACTGACTCCCTGCAAAGAGAAGGGGCTTGTGGTCCCGCTCGTCAGCTGTGGGGATGCTCAGCACCTGGGTAGCACCTTCCTCCATCCCTCTGCAGGACACCGTCCTCCACAGCAAGGGCCAGTGGATCCTCCTGCCTGCTCCGCTCGACACCATCAACGTCCACGTTCGGGAAGGACACATCCTGCCCTTGCAGGTGAGTTGTCTTTGGGAGAAGTTCATGCTCCAGCCCAGCTTGGTCCCAGCTGGCTGGGGCTGTGCCCATGCTACAGCACAGGGCTCTGCGTGGGCTCGGCAGGGCTTGGGGGCACATTGGCAAGAGGCGAAGGAGGCTCGTGCTGCCTGACGAAGGGTGGCTGCTTCCTGGAGAGCTAGACCCTGGCAGTCCTACTGAAACCTGGACTTAGCAGGACTTGGAAGGGATGGACTTCGTGTCATCAGGGGCTGTGGAGAGGGACTGGCCCTGTGTCTGTCACCCCTCTTGCGTCTGAGCAGGGCCAACCTGGTCTCTTCCACCCTGTTTCCCAGAGGGAAGGGCAAGACGCTCTAGCTTGGGCTGGGTTTAGAGGGAGCCCAGCCCCTGCCGAGGGTCTCGAGGTGACAGGCCTAGTGGCGTGGGGCCTTTGGGATTGGGCCTGCCACTTCCAGGCAGGGGTTTCCTCTCCACCCGATATCCCCGTCCCCCAGGAGCCTGGCTTCACCACGACCGAGTCCCGCAAGAAGGGGATGACGCTGGTGGTGGCACTGACAGCAGACGGCTTCGCCCTGGGCGACCTGTTCTGGGATGACGGCGAGGGGCTGCAGACCTTTGAGAGGGGCGATTACACCCAGATCCTCTTCCTGGCCATGCGCGTGAGCCTGGGGGGGAACCGGGTGCTTGGCTGCGGGCGATTCCCGGTGCTGTGCCAGGGCACGTTGCTTGCCACCGGCCCCCGGCAGCACGGCCCAGGGGGGCGACTCCAGAGCGGAGGCCGGAGCCGTAGAGGTCTGAGGGGCAGCGTGCACAGCCCCAGCCCAGCCAACCCAGGGGGGCACTGGGTGCTGGGAGCTGCAGCATTTGCAAAGGCCATGCCTGTTCCCCTCCTATTGCTGCCCTCGGCCTTAATGGGACCAAACCTTTTGGGGCATTGGGGTCTCCCGGCTCTGGGTGGGGAGGTGGGATGGGGGCTCATTCCATGCCTCCAACGTGGCTGTCCCCGGTCTCACCGTGCCTGCACAGGGCGCCCTGGTGCTCAGCTCCCCTTCGCGCTCCCAGTCATCGCATCCTCCCCTTTCCTGCCCTCCAGCTCTGACCACAAACCCTAGAAGGGCCGAGGGGCCCGGCTACGTGACCCCAGTTAGATTCAGTGCATCGTCTAGGCCAAGCTGGGTGGTTTAAAGGAGGAGGTGGTGTGAGCAGCTGCCACCCAGAGCATCCTGGACGTGGGGGGAGGCTGGCAGCAGGGGGGAGGCTTTCCTGGGAGTGACGCTCCTCCCTTGGGCGCAGGGCACGCTGGTCAGCGAGCTGCTGCGGGTCAACAGCCAGGTGGATGGGCTGCTGCTGCAGAGGGTGGCGGTGCTGGGCGTCCCCAGCCCCCCCCAGCACGTCCTGGTGAACGGCGCCCTCGTCGACGACTTCTCCTACCGCACCGACACCGAGGCAAGGCCGCCAGGCACCCGGGCACTGCTTGGGCTGAGGCCTGGCTTCTCCCTCCTGCTGCTGGAAGCAAAGGCTGCAGCGCATGGGAAGGGGGGGATCTTTGGTGTTGTGGCACGCGCCAGCGGGAGGGAGCAAGGAGGGCGGTGGCATCTGCAGGAGATGGCAGCGGATGGGGTGTCTGAGGACGCTGGGTGGTTGGGGAGGGGGCAGCGCCCCCACGCACTGCTGACTCTCCCCTCCCTCTCCTCAGATCCTGACAATCCAGCTGTCCCTCCCGCTGGGGGAGCAGTTCACGATCACCTGGGCTTGAGCGGTCCTGGAGCTGCCTGCCTGCTGCCACGGCTCTTCCCGGTGGCCCAGGGTTGAGCGTGGCGGGGCAGCGTCTCACTGCCATCGCTCGGCTCTGCTTTTTCACTGTGATCGGGGCCTTTCCCTGCTTCCTGCTGCCTCGTGCTACTTGCTTGGCCTGGAGTCTTGGCTTGACCGTCCCCGGCTTTGTGGATGCTCAGGTGGGAGCCTAGCTCGGTGCTGCCCCTGCCTCCAGTGCAGGGAGGTGAAGCCAGGACCCAGCTGCAGGAGGGAATGGGGCGAACTGTTGCTGGCATCTGCTGCTGCCTTTAAGGCTTGATCCAGGTCCCGTGTGAGTCAGTGGCCAAAAGCCCCAGTGGGGCGGGCGGGGAGATGAGGATGGCGACTTCCTCTCGCTGCCCAAGTGGGGAAGGGACTTAGCTGCAGGCAGGGACGCCAGGGCTGGGCTCCTGTGCAAATCCTGGGGCTTGGTTTGCCAACACCATTAGCCTGTCACGCTGGGCCCTGGAGCTGCCTCGAGGTTAGAGCAGCCCCCCAACGTCATGGCAGAAGGGCTGGGCCCGTCCTTGATGCTGGACTGGTGCTTGGATATCCCGGTGCCACATTGCTGTGCTGTGGGGGTCTATTGCTGCCCTGAACACAGCAGAGATGGGGCTTGGGGCTGCGTGGCCTGCCCCGACGGTGCTTCCCACAGTGCTGGCTGGGTCATACGGGTCTCCAATAAAGCACTGGTTTAAATATCTGCTCGAGCTACCTGTGTGCTGATGTTGTGACGGGCTCTAGCCGTGTTCCTGGTGTGCGAGGGGAGGAACTCGGCTGCTCCAGGGCTCTCCTCTCCGTGCCAGCCGGGGACACTTGGCTGTGTGACGCCGGGGGCCTGCGACTCCACGCTCTTGTGCAAAACCTCCCTGCTCACTGGGTCCATCCGAGACCGAGCCGTGCTCTGGTCCCAGGGGCCCTGTAGCTGGTGTCCCACGAGCAAACACCACGGCCTCCGTGCTCCTCATTGGGCTTAAACCTCGAACAACAGGGCTGAGGTTTGGAGGGATTTTACATCCGGGCTGTAGGGTTCCCTGGGCACTCGTGGGACCCTAGAGAGCGGGTCCCCTGCCTTCTCTGGGCGGTTACGGTGGTTTCCCGAGCCTCGCTGCCGCCTTTCCTCCTGTGCTGCTGCTTATGAAGGCAGAGGCAGGATGGCTTCAGCGAGGAGAAAGCAGAGGGGCTGACACGGGGCACTTTGAATCATGGAAAGCTCAGGGCAGAGCCGCTTCTCTAGCAGCAATTCTGCTGACCTGGCAGCACGGCCCAGCACCCTGCTGCCCGGTGACCTCTGCATGGGTCATGCTCGTGGGAAGCTGCTGGCTGGGCCGGGACTTGCCGGCAGACGGGCCCGTGGAGCAGAGGTGCCAGCCTCGCCCACAGGCTGCGGCTGCTCCACCCGGCGCGGTGTTGCCTGCTCTTTTGCAACCCCGGGTTTCTGGCAAGTCACTTAACCTGCCTCTCCTTTGCGGGGCAGGCTTAGCAGCTCCGTGGGGTGGCTGGCACGCCCCGGGCATTCCCCGCCTGCCTGCGGGCAGCGATGACAGCCACCCGCCCATCTCCCCATTCGTTTGCTGTGCTCTGCACAGGGTGGGGAGCTGGGTTTCTTCAAGGGAGGTGTAGAGCTGCCACGGCACAGGGCAGGGCACCCAGGAAAGCCCCATGATGTGCAGGACTGAAGCTGCAGCTGGGTGGAGACGGGGTGGGGCGGGGAAATGCATTCCCCAGCTGTGGGGGAATCCCTCGGCACCAGCCTTGACCTTCGCCCTGGGAGATTGCTCCTTGCTGCCGGCCAGGCCTAACGGCGGTGTCCCGTCAGGTCGGGATTAGCAGTGCTTCCTGCTGGGAAGTTCCCTCCGCTGCTCCCCGCGTTGCTCCATCGCCCTGGGAGCGGCTGCCGCATCCTGCCAACAGGGCTGGGAAGTCCGCGCTCGGGTCCTGCACCCTCCGAGCGCTGCTGCGTGCCAGAGGAGGGGTCCGAGCTGCGTGTCGTCTTCCCCTGCCCTTCCTGGGGGGCTCGTAGCTGTTCACGCAGGGCTGAGTGCATGACCCGGGGGCTGAGGGGGTTCCCTTCCAGCCCCCCAACTCTGCCGCACCTCCGTGCAGAGCTGCCCAGGTGCATTTGGGTGTCGGGTGGGATTAGTCGCACCGAAGCACGTCCGCGCTGCACGGGGGGCCTCCCCTTGTCCCAGCCCCGTACCGCAAGGCTGGGCAAGGGGGACCCTCGGGGACTCCTCTGCTAGCACCTGGCTGTGCTGCCAGCTGGCATCTGATCCGGCCTCCAGCTGCCTGGGAGGAGGCAGGTCCCGGCACCTGCCAACTCCCCAGTACAGTCAGGATCAGCCCTGACAAACCTGCTTTTCTGCTGCCTCCCAGCCGGCTGCATCCTGCCAGTCGGTCTCCAGCCGGAGCCGTGCACGGAGCTCGGGGCAGGTCCTCGCCCGGACAGGTAGGGCTGCCCGCGCTCGCTCGCTCGCTCCCCCAGCGCAAGGGGCTGGATGGACGGAGGGCGGCGGGTCGCATCATCCCCCTGCTGCCCCGCACCTTTTGTCAGCACAAGTGTCCCTGGGGTCCTGGACGGCTGGGGGATGCGGGGTGGCCCAGTGCCTTGCTAGTGTGTGGTGTGGCGCGGAGGCAGAGCTGAGTGTGTCCGCGCGCCCGAGCAGAGGGACATCCCCAGGAGACCGGCTTGTCCGGGAGAGCTCGGGGAGCTGATGTCCCAGCGGCCTCGGGGACCGCCACGGCTGCGCAGCCAGCTCCTGAGCCTCGGGAGCTGAACCGAACGGTCCCTCCGGGAGCTCGGCGCAGGCGGGGGCCCCGGCAGGCAGCTGCTCCTGGAACAAAGAAGCTGCTGGGCGCCTGGGGAGGTGTCGGCCGAGGCGCACCTGGGGTCCTGCTCCTTCCTGCCCCGAAGAAACAGCAGAGCAGGAGCATCCTTGCGTGGCTGAGTCCCCGCGGGAGCCTGGGGCTGTCCCGGGTGCTCCTCTTGCCGAGGGGCAACGAGAGGTGGGCTCGGCGATGCAGGTGCCCCTTGGCCCTGATGCGCCGGCAGGTGCCCCGGGCCCAGCTGGGCTGCATGTGCCCATGCGCTGCCAGCCAGGTCCCCCGTGTACAAAGGTTTCTGAATCATCCAATTTCCTGGTGGAGACTTCCCCCATCTGCCCCTTCCACCTGCCTGGACTTTGTGCCCGAGGGAAAACAACCCTGGCACCAAGACCTGCCGTGGTCGGGCACCTGCTCAGGAGCAGCCGTTGCTCCAGCTCCGGGGCCCGGGGATGTTGGCAGGAGGAGAAGGGCGCAGCCAGCTCGCTGCGCCTCCGCTCTCCCAGGTGCTGGTCCCGTGGGTCACTCGAGGGGCTGCTCTGGTCCTGGCACTGCCGTGAGCTGTGGAGAGCAGGCGAGGACGGGCCTGGGAGCCTGGGCTTGCGGATGGCACGCTGGTCTCTTGCAGCAATAAGGGGGCTCTTCTTCTGCAGCTTTTGGGGCTGCTCCCTCTATCCTCTGCCCGCCAAACACCCTCCATCTCTCCTCTTCTCCCCGCACGCCCGGGGCTGCCAGGAGCCCGCCATGGCAGCCACGTGCCAGGCCGACACGGAGCTCCGGGACCTGGACGAGGAGCAGCTCTGGGAGATGCTGGAGAGCCACCGCTACCGCATCGTGCGCGGCGTCTGCCCCAGCCGGCTCACCCCCTACCTGCGCCAGGCCAAGGTGCTGGACCAACTGGACGAGGAGGAGGTCCTGCACGGGCCCCAGTTCACCAACAGCGCCATGAGAGCGGGTAAGCGCAGGCGGGTGAAGGGGTGGCACGAAGGGACCAAAGAATGGAGTGCAGGGGGATCAAACCTGGGAGATGCCCCGCCGAGAGCGGGCGTGCCAAGTCTTGCCCCCGATCCCATCCACTCTTCCCTAACCTGCCCCCAGGCCACATGCTGGACCTCCTGAAAACCCGTGGCAAGAACGGCGCCCTGGCCTTCCTGGAGAGCCTCAAGCTGCACAGCCCCGACACCTACACCCTCATCACGGGGCTGGAGCCCTCCATCGACCTCAACAACTTCAGCGGTAAGTCCCCCACCCCTGCCCCCAGAGCTGCCTCGGAGCCAGGCTCGGGCGGGGGTGCCGCCAGATGTGGAGAGGTGGGGGAGCGTGAATGGGCAGCGGGGCAGAGCCGAAGGGCCAGCAGCTTTCTGGCAAACGCTGCTGATTGCCCAGTCTGCTCCCTGGTTTGCGGGCGGGAGTGGGCTTGGATGTGCCACGAGTCCGGGGCATCACGTGGTAGCACCTGACAGTCCCCTGGAAAGAGCATGCATGCACCGTGCAGCACCTAGCACAGCGAGGTCTGCCTCTGGACCGGGGTCTCACGACTGCTTCCCTAGCCCCTTGTGTTCCCCAGGAGCTTCGCCTCGCCCCGTCTCTTTGGGGAGGTCCATCCGTGGACAGGGGCAGGCAGAGAGCCGGGGGGCTCAGGCTGAGCCAGGGCACGGTGGGGGCCGTGGGCTGGGCCGTGGCGGGGGGGCGCAGGGGGGGGTCCCC